TAATTCCCCATTGCGAAGGGAACTTAATAACCTAATGCAAAGTAGACGGTACAACATCCATCTCGTGAATCCAAGGTCTGCTGAGAATCACATTGTACGCCATGTCCATATCTATCACTTGAAATTTCGTATCCTTGACTATTCCTTCTGCGAATGTGGTGAGCATTATCTCCCCTTTTGTAACAATGCTTGAATTGTCAAATCTAGATAAGGTACGTGCTTTGGGTACCAATTTGTCGTCACCTCTTGCATTTCGTTTACCACTCTTAAAAGAATGATATTTACAGAGCTACCTGGATCAATCAAAACTCGTTTTACATTATAATTAGTATCATGTACAAGTAAAGATATTACCAGTGTATCATTGTGTGGGATCAACACGCCGTCTGCATCTGCATCATCAAATGTTATACTGTCTTTTTTCCAAAACTTGGCGAACTCGCTTTCCGTGGGTGACTGTGATTTTTGACACCTTTTTTGCAGTCGTATATGTCACACCATTGACCTCCTCCCCTCCGCTTATGACATTTACCGTTCTTTTCGATGATGGAGGTTTTGGTGGCTCCTGTCTATGCTTCATATATGCTTGCTTACCCTTCTCACTAAACAAATTGTTTAAGTAACTTTGTTTTAATAAGTGCTCTACTTCACCTTGTAGCAATTTGCAATATGCTATTTTATGACCGTGATCATTATGAAACTCGCATCAGAAATCTGGGTTTCTTCTGTTGGGGTTCGATCTCATTTCTTTTGGCCACCGCACCCTATCTCCCATGCTTCTTAAAATAACTACCAACTCAGATGTACTAACATTGAAACTATAACCACCAATCTTCATTTTTTGTATTCCTGTCGTTGCCCCGTGTGTCTCGCTCCTTTTCAAATTTGGATGATGAACCCGCGTCTCTGTCCCTTGATCTGGAACCGTACCTCGGGTTCTCCTGTTTAGAATGTGCATCCCTTCTTGCTGGTCCGATGTAAGGTTCGTACATGTTCTTACCTAACCTTTTTTTAGTTTCTGGTCGCCTCGAACTTACTCTTTCATCTCCCCGTGACTGAGTGATAGTATCTTCTTCTATCCGCAGCTTCGTACTATACCTGTTGTAAACATCATTCCAAGTTGTTGCAGGGAATTCTCATAAGCTTTCTTTGAGTCTCCTCGTGGCTTCTTAGCTTCTTTCATTTAGGTTACTTGCAAATGCCATAGCCTCCCAATTGTCAGGTACGCGTGGTAACATCATACTTTCACGCTGGAATCTATCCACGAATTCCCTGAGTAGCTTTGTATCTCCTTGTTTTATCTTGAAGATGTCTTCCATCCTCTTTTTAACTTTTTGAGCTGCCGAGTGTGCTTTTATAAATGAATCTGCAAGCTCAGCAAAAGAATCAATAGAATTTTCAGGTAAAAGAGAATACCATGTTAGTGCTCCTTTTGTGAGTGTTTCACCAAATTTTTTGACCAGCACTGACTCAATCTCTTGCTTGGTCAAGTTGTTGCCTTTCACGCCAGTTTTAAATGCAGTTACATGATCTCGTGGATCGGTTGTCCCATCATACTTCGGGATATCGGGCATCTTAAACTTTTTTGGAATTGGCAAAGGAGCGGCACTTAGCTTCCAGGGTTGTTGAGAATATTTATCAATATCCACCCCTTTGATTACGGGTGGAACACCAGGTATCTGCTCTATGCGATCGTTCTGCTCCTGGAGCTATTTCTGCAAAGTTAGTAATAAACTTTGTAAATCAGAATTAACTGGAATACCTGACCTTCCATTGCGAGATTCGCTTGGAGTTCCTCCACTGCCCGAATTGGCGAGTCCCGAGCGTGGATTTTCTATGGTTGCAGTGTTATTCGGAGGTGGAGTTAATGGTACAGTTGGCAACCCACTAACAAAAGCTTGAAAAGCATTGTTAACATGTTCTGCAATTAATTGCTTCAATGCTTCATCAATAGCTTGATCATCCCCTTGTTGGTCATTCGCATGTAATGTTGATCTGTCAGGTGACCCCTCTCGGGACTATTGAGGAGATTTCGGGGTGAAGGGGCTGGAGTTCCATCCCCTTATTGATTCTGCTGGTTCAACTAGTTTTGCTGATTTTGTTGGTTGTTGTCGTTAGCAGTCGACATGATTTTTTGACAGAAAAAAGAATTTGGAAAGTGAAAAGATTATCAGATTACCGGTAACGGAACCAATTTGTTTGACCAAAAATTGTGTAATTCGGTCAAAGCTTATTTTAAGAAGTACTCGGGCTACTGATAATCAAGAAATTCTATATTTACTTAGTGATAAGAAAGGAAGTTAGAATATGAGGTAGCAAAAATAGCCAATAGTAAGCAAAAGAAAGTAATTGTATTCCAATAATAATCAGAACGTGTCTGTACAAATGATATCCCTTTCCCTTTTATAGGAGTCTATAAGTACAACGTCTTTCCCCTTTTATGACCGAATCATTATGAGCATTAATGATATTAATGAGACGTTATAATTGATAATCGTAACTGTTCATGAAGATTCTGTAACGTTCGAGATCATTCATGCTCATTAATTGATGATTCATGAATCTTTCCTTTTTAATGTCTTGATTCATTCCGCCGGTACCTCTTCATGTAACCACTTAAACTTGAGCGGCCATATCTTCCCCTCCCGTGGGTGATTTGCTCGTATCTATTACGACTCGTGCCTCTTTTAATGCGTCTCTCCAGCTGTCGCTTTCTTACTGATCCACGTGTCTTGTCATATCAGCCACTCATATAAATTCATGTGTAATATTTATTTTTACCAATACAATTCTTAACCACTTGTGATTAGGGGTGGACATAATTTGTGCAAACTCGAAATTTGAACCAAATTTTTTATTTTTTGGATTTTCATATCTTGTATTTACCCCTACCCATTAGACATTTACTCACTACTCATATGGTAAAAATTGCACGGGGCACCCTATTTGGTCGCCCCCATTTAACCTATACCCACTTTTTTAAAAAATTTTAAATTGTACCCACTTTTTAAACAACTTCAGCCCCCTTTCTCCCCTCCTTCTCCTCCTTCGTCGTCTTCTTCTTCTTCTTCTTTCTTCTGCTGCTGTTGGTGCTGCTATGAAACTTCAGTTCATGGGATGATTTCCATAAGTATGTTTATCAGATTATTTAAAAATAAATTATAATTAATTACGTAAGTTAGTAGACAATAATTTATGAATATTTCCACGTAATTCTGTTCTTTTCACGTTTATTATTTTCAAAATTTATGATTTAGATATTGTTGGCAGTCTGATTATTTTATAATAGTAATACACTATGAAAGAATAAGGTGATTATTTATCTAGTATGTCAGAAAGCTTTTTCAAAAATTTCAGCTATTTTAGTGCTGAAGTTTTTACAAATGAACTAAATAACTTCAGCATCTTCTGCTGGAGTTTATGAAAAAGCTTTATGACAAAACTAATGAATCCAGGACAAAAAAACTTCAGCTTATATAGTGCTGAAGTTTTTACAAATGAACCAAATAGCTTCAGCATCTTCTGCTGAAGTTTTTGAAAAAGCTTATCCAGGACAAAAAAACTTCAGCTTATTTAGTGCTGAAGTTTTTACAAATGAACTAAATAACTTCAGCATCTTCTACTAAAGTTGTTGAAAAAGCTTATCCAGGACAAAAAAACTTCAGCTATTTTAGTGCTGAAGTTTTTACAAATAAACTAAATAACTTCAGCATCTTATCTAGGACAAAAAAACTTCAGCGTATTGCTTTTGCTACTTCAGGCCCGTCTACTAGAATGCTGAAGTTTTGCGTGATTGCCTTTGCTACTTCAGCCCCGTATGCTGAAGTTAAGCGAAAAAGTGGGTACGCTTGCAATTTTTTTGCAAAGCGGGCACAAGTTAAAACGTGACCCAAAAAGCGGGTGTAAATGCAAATCCCCCACTCATATGTACCTTACCCATTAAACGTTAGCCCATATATCCAATACTTATTAAACTGCAAAGTCATGGTCAGAATACTTTTTATAATGCTTCTGTTGCATTTCTTTTATATTGGTTTCATTGCTTGCATGAATACTTTGTTTGGAAGAAGATGCTCAACTTATAGGCTCAAAGTTGAAAATTTGAAATATCCAACAGATTAATTCGAAGCAAACTTAAAGAGTCCGATCAAATTTGAGCTTATTTTGATTAGATTGGGATTGTAAATTTTTTCAATCTGGAAGCCAAAAATCTGAGCGAAATTATCATATCCAATCTGAACTACCTGAACACCCATCTTTACTTGTGTTTCAAGAAATTTTATGTATTCTATTTATCCTCAAGGTAACAATAACAAACCGAGTGAAATCTCACTAGTGGGGTCTAGGGAAGATAATGTGTTGTACGTAGATCTTACCGGGTTTTATCTGTTCTATTTATCCTCAAGGTATCTAATTATATATAAAAATTAATATATAGACACATGTATATGAACTTAAAATTATCAACCCAATTTTAACAAGTTCTGTGAAACTGAAAGCAAGTGACTACATGAATATCGCAATGGTAGTTACAAATTTTTACAAGTTTCAAACTTTAACAACTTAATCAAGTGTCTGCCTATTAGAGGTGATTCTTGTACGATAAATTCATCTAGACAATAAAATTGAGTTTTGGGCAAGAAACTGTCTTTATTCAATTTGATTCATATATTCCAGGAAAACTTTTCTTTTTTCTGGAAAACAGAACAACTTGGTTACCAAGTAAATGGCTAAAACAGCCCCATGACTTGCATTGTGCTGTGTGCAATTTGTGATGAGAGCAAACTTCATATTTTGAATGGTTACTGAGTCAGAGTAAGCATACAGTACACAAAGCATCCCGCGATCACGTAGTGTCCGGGGAAGGACCGCATCCAAGAGGTGTGATGTAAACAGCCTATCCTAGTGATGCAAACATTAGTGACTGCTTCCACTGCTCGAACCCATGACTATAGTAAATTAAACATACAGCTGACAAGAGAAATCAACACGAGTGACAAACCAAAAGGGTTCATAAATCAAGATCAAGGTTCAATTACAGAAAGACAATAACAATTACAAAAGAAACCTTATATACAAACAACAGCAATGGCTAAAACAGTAATCCATTCTAAACTTTTGATAATGCACACTAGAGAAACAGGAATAAATAGAATAATATAAAAAGATAAGAGCATCACTTTGGAGCAAATGAGCATTAATCATTGGATGCAACAATGCATAATGTTAGAAGCAATACAAATGGCATTTACTTTTTTCCTATGTTACTCGGGCTCCTCCAAAATATTACCAGGTGTGTGTAGGATTCTCCAAAAGCAATGTATTTTTGGAGAATCCGACACGGGTGCGACAGTATTTTGGAGAGTCTGCGCAACATAGCTTTTTTCTCTAGTTGACACTCACACTTGTTCAATTCCACTGAGAAAGTTTTTGAAGAAGAAAAGCCAAAGTATTTGGCCTTCTTTTCTTGACCACTTGCTATCCAAAATACTTCCTTTCACATCTCTAACTTTGTGGATCAGAATGCCTCCTTGGACTACGAGGAGATGTCGAAAAAGACAATCTTTTCTTTGCTGAATTACCTGTTCCCTTCTCTGGTGTTCCATTCTTCTTGAAACCCAATGGACTTGGTAAATGCGACTTGGTCGTCTTTGCTGATTCTTTTGCTGCCATGTAACTAGGAACAGGTGGTGATCGCGCAAGGCTTTCATGATCTCTAGTTGACGAGATGCTATGCCTCCTTCCACGATCCGACTGAGCAATGGAAATGCTTCTTGAATCACCATCCACATTACTACTTCTCCTTGGATTTGCTAGCCTTATTCTCACTGGCTTTGGCCGAGGTGTTGATGGTGATTGGCTTTGTTTATGAGCGGTTGGAGAAGGCACATTGTCAAGGTGGAAATCACGACGAGAGTGATCAAATTCAACAGAAGTGGCATGGTTGGTTGGGATCTTCGCAGTTTTATGAACAGTGTTAAATTCTTTGTCAAATGCACTTTTATCTTCCCATAAGCGTGAAGCCATCCGTCGCTCCAAACAACTCCAGCCCCATTGGGTATTATTCGGGTCTGTGATTGTCAGATTTGTAGCTTTTGAAGGATGCCTCTGTGTTTTCTGGTGTAAAAGTCTTGGATAATTAAACATCATGTAACAAGATATAAGTTTTTCCATAAAGTAACTTCATTAATCCACGGAATGAAAATTCAGTTGCCTATTACTCTCATGTGGCGGTGTTTGACTAGGTACAGAATTTGAAACTTGTGTTCTAAAACAAGCAGTAGAATTTTGTGTGGCCGTAAATAATCTTATTAAGGGTAAAGTGAAAATTTTAAATTTAAATAATTTCTAAATAAGGAAGTATGACATTCTTTTGGGGACAAGCTAAAAAGGAAACTATGACACATAAATTGAGATAGACGGAGTAGATGTTTATCATATGGGCAAATGAAATGCAAGAAACACCCCCACCTCCCTCCACCATAGAACATCAAAAAAACATAGAGGAAAAAAGGAAGGGAAACCATAATTGTCCCTGAAGCGGAACCCACATATAAATTAGTGTATACATATGCACTTACATAGATACAGAAGGCGCAATCGGAGCACTAAGATCATGGGTGAAGGCACACTATCATTACACGACGGTTAAAGTGCGGAGCTATACTCTAAAGACAGATTCACTAGATTCACTGTCATTGCCTAGAATCCCTTGAAAGTAAACAATGAATTTTGTTTTACTACCATTGGAGAAGATATTTAATAGCCATAGTACACTTAAACGTTGGGGAAGGTAAATGTCCTAAAGTTTTGTTACAAATAAGCCCTACTAAAGGGATCTATATCAAAGCCACCAAAAGTCCAAAAATGAGTCTTTGTGCTTGTTAAGTGTCCTACATTGGTTGAGGAATAGGTTGTTGTCTCTTTATATGGTCTTGAGCAATCGTTATACTTAAGAAAATAGATGGTAATACTTTGTTCATGTAAGATGAACCCCTCGTTAAACACGATGTGAAAGCGCTACCTGATGTGTGTATGCATAAGCCAAAGCCCTTTCCCTTCTCAAAGCAGCCTCCTGCTTGCTTTGGAGGTTTGCTTCAACTTGTTCCCTTGACTGTGTGCTGTCATTCCAATTATCTCCAAATTTCTGCAAAATGTAAAACTGAGCCAAAGCCAAAAAGAGGAGGAAACTATGATAGTAGGTACTTACTATCCAAATGGAAGCAAATAATCAGAAATAAGTGGAATGACCAAAGCAGCTTTCAAAGTTTGAGGCAGACAATGTTTAAACAAGTTGTCATAGTAATAACAGATCATATTCAAGAAACCATGGATAATATGGATATCCATATTATCCGCCGGCTAAATCATTTTCTATCCGTATTAAATATGGGTCAGGTCGGGTAATTTATCCGTTTTGCATTACCCATTTTTTACCTGCCCATATCTGATCCGCCTGTTTGCACTCCTAGTCTAAACATAGAAATGCAATCTATTCAATTAGTGTTCAAAGGTGTACTCACGGATGCTATCAACCTCTCCTGCTCCTTCTCGTTCTTCTGTTGGAAGAGAGCCATGTTGTCCTCTAACATTCTGATTCTTCTGGTATGAATCTCAGATTGAACACGAGCTACGGTATGCATGTACCTTAAAGCGGAAGTGGCTTGCCGTTTTACAGATTGCCCTTCAATCATTTTCTTCAACCTCACTAGTCCTCTCAAAGCCCTGAATCCCCTCCTAGCCTGTACAAAACGAGGAACGTATAACATAGTCATCTCATGTAAGCTATTTTAAATGTTCACACTATTCCGACATTGTGACTAATTTTAATAATTTCAACAAACTTGTAGAGTTGTTGTAGGATTTCCATTTAGAGAAGAGTGAAGACTCTATTGTGAGCAGCTATAGCAATTTCAAACTCTAAAGTTAATCAACGTGTAAGCAAATCTTTCAACTCTCCTGGTATTCTATAAAGAAGAAAACAAAAATCATATAATTGAAAAGAGAAGAGTGTTCAGGTCGGTAACACAATCATGTAGGTTTAGCTTGTCAACTGATACATCTGAATAATCTGTAAGTGGAACCAAAAAAGCGTCCAAATATGTAGGCAGAATAGATCGATACCTCCCTGAACTTGACGACTTTTATTCAGTACACACTTAAACTTTATATTGGCCTAATTACCCCCTGAAGTTGGCAATTTGATAGCCTCGACTTCCCCTGGATGTTAGATGTGGCAAAGAGCGTGAATACACTCTCTATTCTGCCTTATTAGCTTAAATTACATTACTTGATAGGTATCTTACCAGATATCCACGAAAAGCTGTTTGTATCTTGATAGCTGCAAACTCTTCCTTTGATTCACCTAATTCACGGACTGTAACAGCAGTAGCAAGCGCACCAGCGTAGGAATGCTCGTTTTGCTCATTCTCGGCTTCCACGAATCTCATCTGCTCTGTAGGAGGAGCGGCTGCAGGATCCGCTGTTGTGGTATGTGCACCGGAAGAATCCAAGTCCGCGCTCTTCTGCTTCCAAAACCATTTTCTAGATTTTTGGTTTTGCTGATGGAAAAGAAATTTTCACGGTATGTAAAGCAATCCAAAAATAACATACCAAAAGCAGAAATAAATAGGAATTCAAAACATTCACTACCTTCTCTTTCTTCTTCTTCTTAGTAGAAAGAACCTTTTTCACCGCGGAAAAGCAGCTTCCCTTTTTCCCCATTCTTTTTTATCTTCACTAGTAACAATTCAAGAAGAAACATGAGACGACCAGAAATTTGAGACAGAAAATATCCTAAGAAATGGTTTTCTAAATAAAACCGAACCACATTGATCAATAATATAGAGAATAACAAAAAATATGATCATTCATCGAAAAATGTCTACTTCAGATTAACCATTCATTACAAGGCATCAGAAAAGCAATAAGCCAAAAGCATTAAGGAAACACAAAACCAAAGAGGAAAGAAAAAATTCATTGATTTATTCTAAATATACTCCACTTAAATCCTAACAAATACCTCTGCAACTTTTCTCTTAACAAAATAATGTGCCTACAAAAGGACTGAACAATAAAGCTGTGAGTACACTTGTATCTGTTAGAATATGATTGTGATGAAAACTTCAAACATTTGGAAGTAGTGATAGACAAAACGAAAAAGAAATGGACTTGTTGAAGACAAGAATAACAGACATGGGGGTATTTTGGTATTTTTAGTCTGCCGGCTTTGGAGTTAGTCATACTGCAGATAACTTTCTTTCCTTCCCTTGTGTATACGTGCTACCCACTTTCTGAAATTGTACCTCTTTGATACAAGAATTGTTGTGTCCGTAGAAGTGGCGTGTTATTAGAATAGATTGGGCACAACTTAAGGAGCTTGAATCTCAGTTTTGGGATGATTTGGTGAAGTTTTGAGGTGGTTTGAATTGAAAAGTCGAAGTAAAAGCTGAACATGATAAAAAATGATATGTGTATCACATTGTGTATCATTTATGTATCACATACGTATCATATTTGTATCAATTGTGTATCGCATGTATATCCATGTATACCTGTGTGTGTGATACATGCGTGATACATGTTTGATACATGTGTCGCAGAAGACTTTTTTGAACTCGATTTAATTACGAATTTTGATACAAAACCAGTCCAAATCACCTCCAATCTTCCTCAAATTTTGTGTATTGACTTATCTCTATATTTTCAATGAATTTCAACTATACCCATTAAAAAAGTTCCTTTTTTGTTTAGATTTTTGGAATATTGTAAAGATTTTTGTATTTCATCACCTTATTTGCTACCCCGTCCATGAAATTTCCTTTCCGTCTTATATCTAATGTTGCTAATCACGCTTAAAAATATGGAAGGTGATTTTTGCATGTGATTCTTTGAGAGAAAGAACCCTATTATTTGGTTTTCAATTTTTGTTGGCTAGTTTTGGTAAGTCTATGACTAATGGCTAGAGGTTGGTAAGTTGAGATTTATTTGGGACATTTGTGTAGGTTTCCCTACAATAAACTCTTATGGTCCGGCCCTTCCCCGGACCCCGTCATAGCGGGAGCTTAGTGCACCAGACTCCCATTTTTTTTTTTTTTAGAAAAGTTCCTTTCTATAAATCTGTTTTCCAAAAATTAATGCCTTTTAATAAGTGAATATTAAAATGATAATTCCAATAAATTGTTTTAATTAGATAACAACTACTAATTAGCTAATCAAAGTGCAAACAAGTGACAGACGAGAAGAATGGAACCATAGGCTCCTATTGCTTCCTCAGTCACAGCTTCACTTAGCTTATTGCCAGACAAGAATGCAAATCGACTCCTTATGTAGAATGTTGATAAACACATTCAATGAAACAGCCAGTATAATTGACAAGCTACTTTCTTGTTCTAGGCTGGAAGATCCTCTGTCTATCAGCATACTCGTAGACCTACGAGATGATGGTTCGAGCAATGCTGGGATCAGCTAAGAACATAGTTGGTTCTTTGGTTGAAAGATTTAGGTATTTTTAAACCAGAAGCTTTTATCAAATGAACAGCATTTGCAAAGACAATTCACATTTCAGCTATCCTTGCTACACATTACAAATGAGTTTGTTAAGATTCATGAAGCTGATGTTTCCTCAGTTTTTGCTCGTTTCGATGGAGTTGAACACAAGTCTCTAACATCTGAGCCATGATCTTCACAAGTTTTCCTTTCCAGTGAGTTCCCTTCCTTGTTTTTGCCACGTGCAAGCTCCCCTGCGGAACTTGAAGCATCGTTCAAACTAACAGGTTCCTGCTCTAGTGCTTCTGATTTATCGTTGGGAGGCGAATGCTTCGTCTCAGAGGATGGTGAAGGATGTTCATCTGTTTTTAGTGACGATGATACCTTTAGATCTTTCCCCATGTCTTTTGTCCTCTCAAACATCATTTCGAGGTATTTACCCTGTTCTTCAATCCGCAACTGCAACTTTCTTTGGATCTGCAGAAAGGGATATGTTCTAATTATACAGATACTTGATAGAATTGTTTTTTATAGCCATACTTGATAGGAAATATAAGTTAAGGAACAAGTATAACCAGAGGTGATTAAGGTCACTAATCAATCCAAAGGAGGACCTGTTTACACTAGATTAAGTTGCATAATCGAGAGTTCAGTAAGGCAGCATGGCCATAGGATTTGCAGCTCGGTGCACTAAGCTCCCGCTATGCGCGGGGTCCGGAGAAGGGCCATACCACAAGGGTCTATTGTACGCAGCCTTACCCTACATCACGGCCATAGGGTTGCATGGAATTTTATTCAAGAAATGATTATGGTTCAACACCTCTCTGTGCTCTCTAAAACCTTCTCATATTTGAAAATGAAGCTCGACTTTGCCTGAGCATTGGGTGGGCATAGTTACCCGGTATTTTGTGCTGATGGGAAGTAGCAAGTACCCGGTGGAATAGCCGAGGTACACATCAGCTAGCCCGAGCACCACCATTGTAAAAATTGAAAGGAAGCTAGAAAGGTTCATTTAATCTGTACCCTCTCCACACCAATCCACAAGGCTCCCTAAAACTCACAAAAGATAGTAAAGGAACCACCTCAAAATTGATAGAGAAGCATTCCTTTCAATTTTGCACTACTAGCCACTGCGATGGTACTACCTAAGATTTGACGTTCCGTGAAAATTACAGATGTCAACTTAGGGTATGACTTCAAGTAGTTTCACCCAGCAAAGCTTCTAACAAATAACTACCAGCCGCAGATGTAATATGGATATTCAGTCAGCTGCTATTATCAGTATGTCATGGATAATTGATCAACTAAAACAAAAACGGTAAGGAATGGAGTTAATGACCATGCCATCTTTAAGTTGAAGTTGGAACTCGCCAAGTCTGAGTATAATATTTATAATAAATAACGAGCTTCCACTAGTATCTGACATTATATAGATTATGTCGTACTTCTAAAAGTAGGATACTACCTGAGGGGATTGTTTAATGTGGTATGTTCTCCCTCATTCCTGAAAGGATTTACACTAGAACATTATCATAATTTACAGGTTCGAATACGTCGAGCTATTGCTAAAATAGTCATAAACTTGAATTTGCATCTATACACCTGCACGTGCGAGTTCTTCTGAAAGAAAATTTAGCTGAGACAACTGTGAGAAAGTTGTAAGGGAGCCAAAACTGTAATAAAGAGAAGCTCTTAAGTCTCAGCAAAATTAATATATTCGTAGATTCTCTCTCCCCTCGCATGGGTAATGTAATTATATTCTCGATTATCCAGAAACTTTGACTTATGATTTGATGATGAAATCAGGTGCAAGAAAAACAAGAATAGACAGACGAGTAACGCTGGAGCCTTTGATCATTTACATACCTCAAGTTGTTCATGAAGCTGCTTTTGGACTTCCATCTGCATTCTAAGTGCTTCTGTTATCCCCATAGTCCTATAACCAGAATCCCAATAGAGTTTTAACAATTGGCGACCAGAATTAAATTAGAATTTAACTGCTATCAGAATAACTCCCTGTGCAACACTTTTTGGTCCTTTTATTGGAAGCTTCCTATTGGAAAGACGTGGACAACCTTTTGCTTATGTGACATCATGTTTTACGTTATGCACCACAACGAACAGATATCCGAGAAGTTTGATTGCTGCATAACTATAGATACGCATAGTGCGAGAGCAAAGACTTACATTTTCAGGTCCAAAGATGGCATCTCTGTCACACTAGCGGGCTTCTTTTCCGGTATTCCTGCAATGAGCAGATTACAATCCATTCTCAATTTTTTCATCTCTCGGAAACTATGACAATATCCACTTGAGCATCAGCAAAGTTAACTTATTTTCTCCAAAAAAAATTCACAATCAAGCATCGTTTTGACACATTCAGGAGAAACTAGAGAGGCAGGAAACACAAGCATTGGCCACACTTGCCAATAGCTGAAATATGAAATGCATTTCAATTCCCAAACAAGTACATGAATGTTACATGACACAACTAGCACGTTGATGGATGTAAAAGTTCATCAAGAAACAGAGAGTAATTTCTACCTTCCGATGGTTCTGGTTTGTATCTGGCAGTTCTATATTTCTGAAATTCAAAACGAAATACATATCATAAATAAATGATCACCCCTCATTGCAGTACAAAAAAGGTTAATGAAGAGGATTATGATACCTGCAAGTGGCTTTTGACATGATAAATGGTTAGGCCTTCAACATTCATGAGCTTCAAGACACCCTTTGGTGTAGCTTCTGCAAAATCAAGCCATAGAGATAATAATGTTAACCTGAACTCTTACTCCTCTTAACCACTAACAAAAAGAAGAAAGAAAACTTAGAAACAAAGAGGTCACGCACGTTCGCTACCGCCAAGCTTACTGACAGCTTCTACAAAGACTTCGTGAAGCTCAGGTGTCCAACGCATACGAGATTTCGTCAGCGCTGTGGAAGATGACGGGCTACCGACTGGGCAACTTTGCCCGGAAGGTGCAATTGGAGGAGGTTGGGGCTGAAAAGCAAGGACTTCAGATGCTCCCAGCAGCTACAAAAATTAGAAATCAAAGTCAAATAAAAGCAGAAAGGAAACAAGGACATACACAATATCATGCTAATATAATTGGAGTTAATTGGAAATAAAGGACTAAACCTATGAATGGTTTCAAAACTAGACCCACTAATAGATGGCCAAAGGGAACACTACCGAGACAGCTCAAAGAAGTGAAATACACATCTTTTTCACTCTGAAAGTGCCAAGTGTATATACACTCAATCTAACTTAAACTTAAATCTGTTTGTGTAACAACAATTTTAAAATTCATTTCATGTACGTGGAGCACAAAGAGAGAAATAGGCAGAATGACAGCCCAAAGTACAAGAATATGCATCTGAAAGAATAAGCTTGGGAACCTAACACCTTTTGCTTTTGGCAATGTTACCTTGCTAAAATCGGGTTTCAACAAGCAGCTCCTACACAGCTCGACATAACAGAGGAACAAAGTAATGAAATGGAACAGAAGCACAAAGAAAGGGGAGTAAGAACGGGTTATGACAAAAAATATTAAGATGGAGCAAGAAGTGAACTAAATCTACATTCACTGCTGTCAGTTCAAGTCTAAGCTAAATTAGCATTTCTCAAGAATAAGTCCAACTTCTGACAGTTAATGTTATCAAGAAAAGATGCCATAATTTTTCCCCTTGGGAACATAAATTTGAAGACCATAACCTCTAGTCAGTATAGAAGCCCGTCAGATGCCGAACATTAGCACTAAAGTTTAAAGAACAAACCTTAGGTTCTGGATCTAGAAGATTGACATCAACTAGGTGTTCAATCCAGCTTGAACCCAAAGCATCATCATCGTTAATTAGCTGATCAGCCCATTCCTGCCAATCAGATCTCTTAGTCTGGTCATCAGATGCCATGACAACGGGAAGGTTTTCGACTTGACCATTCTGAACAGGAACATCCGTAGGAAAATCAGTTAAGTCATGATATGCATCTTTGCTCCAGGAATTATTGTTGTTTCTCATGGGGTAATTATCCAATGATGCTGAACATAGACTTGAGAGTGAAGATTGGCAGGTTGTCGCAGAAACTTCACTTGAAATAAATGGATAGCTACGTGGCCTACTTTCTTGAGAAGAGGTTGGAGAAAAGTGAAAATCTTTGTGGGGTCCAGAAGTGGAAGATAATTGATGCCCTACTGTTACACTGTTAGATGCTAATGGGATTGCCCGTGAGGAAATGAGGTTTATAGATTGCTCCTTTTCTGTGAGCACATGCAGAGAATCTGGCAATTTCAGATACTTCTCTTCCAATGACGGCAAAATGGATAAAGATGTCGACATAGCTCCACGGATACCCATGTTATTGTGCTGTGCTTCACTAGATCTTTGAATACATAATGCACGACGCATGTTCATTTTTTTCCATAAATTGAATTAAAAACTTTAAGATTAACAAAACGGTTTCAACTCACTACTTTGTTTCGCTCAGTCAAAAGACGAATTCTAAAATGACGGTTCTCAACCTTGTACACCGTATATCTGTGGCCAGAAAAGACAAAGCTTACATCAGTGAAATTGGAGTATGACTGAAACTGATGAAAAATGATAAAAGTCACGTGTTTATTAATTAAAGAATTTCACACGCTTTACTCCATTGGACCCAATCTATTTAACATAAACTAACTTCTACAGACAAACTTTGATATCATGAATACTTATTTTCTTTAAAATTTAAGATCTTCAGAACTCAAGGGCGTGTTTATTTTAGACATAATGATGAACTCCTGTTAAGCAAAGTAACTAGTGTGACAACAAGAACTACAATTCTCAACTCCAAACTAGTCGTGATCAGTTATATGAATCCTCAATATCAATTCCACTCTAGTTGGACCCCTTTTTTCTTGTTACTACTCTACATTGTTTACTGATATACAAATCCTAAACAAGCAAGTTAACTAGTAACCTAGCCTTAAAAAAAAAAAAAAAAAAGATAAAAAACTATAATTGTAACTAAACGATCACTAATACCACCTTTCAATAATCAATCAATACCATCCACCTCCTCAACAAAACCAGAAAAGGAAAAAAAAAATAATGCCCTTTTCACTTCAAAGAATATTGCAAAATGAAGTTGCTCCACCCCACCCTCTACAACCCCCTCCCCCCCTCCCCCAAACCCAAATTACCAATCATAAGTTCTATCGCCTAAAGATCTCAACTTGGTTACTAAAAACCAAAAGAAATAAACAGAAAAAAAGGAGACAAACTTGAGCGAGCTCCCCAAGAAACATATGATTAAACAAAATCCAAACTTCAAAAGGCCACCAAAAAAAGTCGCAAACTTTTTTCTGAAAATCATCAACAACCCAGTTCGATTAAAGCAAATTCAAATCATACCAGCGCAACAGGAAGAAAAAAAAAATAGACTATAAGCAAAAGAACACATTTTTCAATATTGGTCACATACATAGAGACAAAAGGAAACAGAAAACAAGAATCACTGAAACTAAAGCTAAAATTCCACATGGAGTTCAAGCAAAGATAAGAATTGAACCTTAAAATCCAAACTTCAAAAGCCTAGAACAAAAAGTTGCAAACTTTTCTGAAAAATTATCAACAACCCAGTTCAATTAAAGCAAATTCAAATCACACAAGTACAATAGAAATATAAAAAAAATGGACTAACACAATTTTCAAGATTGATCATATAAATAGACACAAAAAACAGAACACAAGAATCACTTAAAGTAAAGCTAAAATTCCACATGGGGTTGAGGTAAAAGAAAGATTTGTACCTTAAAATCCAAAGAATCCGTTTTGGGCAATGGAGAAATGGCGGACTTATTAACAGAAGGAAAAAAAGGGAAAGAACAAGACTTTGGGAAATATGTGGGTATATGTTTTTTAATAGAAAGATTCTAATTTCTTTCTCTGATGACTTACCAAAAAGTATTTAATTGAATGATTGATTTTGAGATGATGATGATGATGATATGTGGATGATGTCATCCCTTTTGTTTCGTCTCCCTGCCTCCCTACACCAATATAGGGGCGTCAACATACACTTGCGTGTGGCAATGGGGTCAATATTACACTTGCGTGCGGCAAAAGGGGTTTAATCTAATTCTAAAAGTTGTTTTTATACAATTAAACATTTATTTTTAACGTGAAACAACATCCTAGTAGTTTCTTTGCAAGAAATTTTAATAAAGCACTATAGTTTAGAGTCTAACTACCATATTCAAAAATGTAATGCTTTTGTTAAGAGTGGAACTCAAGATAGGCTACGAGAGCTTGTCGCTCTGTTGTTTCAGTTGAAGACAATTGATCTCTTGTTTCAGTATTGTTTACCCGTAAAACAGTATATTTAAATTTATATCGTGATTTATAGACAAGACAATCGACTTGATTCAAAAATGATTAAAAAAAAAATAGAGACAAAATAAGATTAACGACTGAAATTAAAGGAGATGACAAGCCTGCCTCTGAACTCATTCTTTTCGAGAGCAAAAGTAAAAATAATAATAAAGTTATTTAGATGTAAAATAGTAGATTATAGCTTTTGTGTGGAGAATATTTTGTGTGCAACAATGTTCTTGCTATTTACGGCCCCTACTTAAGGGGATTCCAGTACTATTTTGTCCAATAATCTTCAATGGGGTGCTTGATATATGCCATGTGGACAAAATATAATGAATGGTTTGGATTTGTTCTATTATTCATGGCCCCTTAATTTTCTCTATTAATGCAATATATATACTCTAACAAATTGAAGGAATTGTATAATATCATCACTGCTTTATATAAAAGACGAAAGGCAAACTTAAATTAGCTTTATATGACATGAGTGCTAATTTTATTTTTTATTTCTTTTATAATGCATTACCAAGTATTTCTTAATTGTAGTTTAGTTGTATAAAAAATGGATGCTTTTTAACATAACATGCGATTTTTGACGTACTAATTGATATAGTTTTATTCTATAACTTTAGTGCTATTTGAATTTATTATGTAAGTAATGAAATTCATTATTTGATTAAATCTTCAGCCGAAAGAAAAACTTTTAGTTGATTTTGACGTTGGTAACAGAAAACTGAATTATAGAAAATCGCCAAACAAAAAATAATTACGGAAAAATGGAACAGAATACAAGTTTATTACAATTATAAACAACTTTATACTACAATGACGCACACTCAATATTTTTTAATCAGAAAAAATAACTTCAATAGTTTGAAATTAAAAATAATAGTGTTGCCTAAAAACTTATTTTGAATAATAGGACAATCCAAACCATTGATTATTTTTTGTCCACGTGGCACATATCAAACACCCCATTGAAGATTAATGGACAAAATAGCACTGGAGGGAATCCGATCCCCTACTTAAGGGGACAAGATTCTAAAATCAAGCTCCTCTTGAATGAGAATAAAAACGCCATTGATGGTGCATAACGGCTGGCTTTGAATGTATATATTCTCTGCAACAGCTGCTCATTAAATGCTACCCGATATCAAACCTTCGATTTTTATTATTGGCTATGCTTCCTTCAGGATCTATCCAGTGTCAGTTACACACTATGCACCCGGTACCAGTTATTTGCTAACTCATCTTTTGTCTGTCTTCGATTCCACGTGTCACCTCGTCATTGTTATCAACCAATTACACCCCATACAAGTACTACAGGTGGGTTTGCTATAAAATTTAAATATAGCTACACGTTGTAATTTTCTGAAAATATAGTTATAAATAATAATATATTGTTTATAATTGATGTATCGCATTATCCTTTCTCTTTTAACCAGATACATGAAAGAAAGTTTTGCCAAATTTTTAAAAATTATAAATTAAAAAAACAATCGAAATTGCATCTCAAAGGATAAGAAAATATTTTTCTTTCATTGTGCCTTATTTATCACTTTATTGATCATGAATTCATGCTATGAATTAGACTCATGTTTATTTCAATATTTGAAATAAGTTATATATAAAAAATGACACGTGGGACAAATTTATTGATTTTCATATAAGTATATTTATTAAGTGACGAGACGCAAGGCGGAGCATGTTGGAAGTTTGGAGACAGACGCTGGAGTCTTAAGGGTTTCAACTTGAGTAGGTCAAAAATAGAGTACTTAGAGTGCAAGTTCAGGGATGGAATGTATGAAGCAGAAGTGGAAGTAAAGATTGATACTCAAGTCATCCCCAAAAGAAATAGTTTCAATTATATTGGGTCTATTATCCAAGGCAACGGAGAAATTGACAAGGATATTACTCATTATATTGGGCGAGGTGGATGAAATAGAGGCCCGCTTCGGGGTTTTTGTGTGATAAGAGTATGACACCTGGACTTAAGGGCAAGTTCTACAGAGTGGTGGTTAGATCGACTATGTTGTATGGGGATGAGTATTAGCCCGTCAAAGAAGTCTCATGTCCAGAAGATGAAAGTAGCTGAAATGAGGATGTTGAAACGGCTGTGTGGACATACCGGGAAAGACAAGATTAGGAATGAAGTTATTACGGACAAGATGGAAGTGGCCTCTATGGAGGACAAGTTATGGGAATTGAGGCTGAGATGGTTCGGGCATGTAAAGAGGAGATACATAGATGCTCCGGTCAGGAGGTGTGAGAGGTTGACCATGGCGGGTTTGAGAAAGCGCAGGAGTAGGGCAAAGAAGTATTGGGGAGAGGTAAATTAGGCAGGACATGTTATTGCTTTAGCTTGCCGAGGATATGATCCACAATAGGAAGGTGTAGAGGTCGAAGATTAGGGTTGAAGGTTGACAGATAGCAGTGTGTTTCTCCTAGGCTTACCAGTAGTATTAACACTATTCTTGTACTTTTTTTTATTCATGGTTCTTTATTATTTACATGATGTGTGTCATTCGCGTCCGTTACCATAGTGCATTGTTGTAACTATTGTTTTTTTACTTGGTTCCTTGAGCCGGAGTTCACTCTATTTATCTTTATAAGGTAGAGGTAAGGCCTGCATACACACCATTCTTCTCAAATACTATTTTTGAGATTACCTGGATTTGTCATTATTGTTGTTAGTTATATATTATTTTTCAAGTGAGTTTTCTTCTCGGTTTATTAGGGACCATTTGTTGGGAATACGTTTTCGTTTGCTTGTGCAAGATGGAATTTGGTAATTAGTGGTATGGAATGGGAGTTGAGATTATAATATTGTTTTTTTGTGTGTCAATGGAGGGGCCCAGATTAAAGCAGGCCTTCTATATAATTTTGGGTCATTAAAGAGGTCCACTACAATTTTGTGGAAATTTTTTAGAGTTACCTTCTTCTTCTTCGTTATTTTGATCCTAAAGCTTGGATTATAAATGGATTAATTAACAATCATGAAGAGTAGGGCATGGGGTGGTGCAAGTCGGGAAGTTATATTTGGCAGCTCTGTCAACAATATTAACAGCTCCTAGTTGAAATACGTCGATTATATATTTATTATACACGGCAACATGTATACTATTATTAGTGTGTAAACATCGAATATGATTAAATTTTTACAATCAAACATGAGATAAGTTGATACCCCTCAAGGTACGAAACATAAATCAAATTATTCTCTACCCAAACATGCCACTGTATATAATATCATACAAATATTAGTTCAGAAGAAAATAATGGGGGAAAGGGAAAAGCAGCAAATGCATATTCTTTCATCGTTGCTTCTACTAATTTATTTATATGTTAGGTCAGAAAAACTACATACTCTTTTTTTGTCGTTTCTCCTTTATATGTTAGGTGATGTAGTCAAGAAAAAATGATTGTGGTGCTTTTGGGACACCTTAGAAAAAGCATTAGACTAGTGTTTTTCGAAATGGAACTCACATATTCTAGAGATGTCCTACCTTTCACTAATTAATACTACTAATGTAAGTAATAGGAGTATTAATATATTATGAGTGTAGGGACGTCACAAGTCACAACCAGCTTCTTCAAACAATCACAGCATTCAGGTAGATAAAGGTCGCTGAATGCATTGAAGTATTGACACTTCAGAAAGATAATCTTTTATTTATGAAAAAAAAAATTTGTGATATCTCTGGTTTTGGAATTTGGTGGAATTATATATGAAAAGATTTCCTAGCCCTCTTTTCCTGATTCCCAACTTAAGTATACTATATGACGATATGGTTAATGTTTAACATACAGACAATATAAAATAGAAATTAGCACGGCGCGATTCGCAAAAGGGATGGTCTTGGGAAATGTCTCCATTTTATGGTTTTAGCAAAATGTCCTTGTTGAATATCATAGTTCTTTACTCCCTCCGGTCCAAAATAAGTAATTTTTTGGATGTTTTCATACATATTAAGAAATTCACCTTCTAACACTAATTAGCAATGAAATTGACCATATTAACCTTTACTATCTCACATAAACACTCCTAACACATACTCCAACACTATTTACTCCAAGGGTAATGTAGGAAAAAATAATTAATTCATTCTTGAAATCTGGAAAAATCACTTATTTTGGACCACAAAAAAAAGGCCAAAAAATTACTTATTTTGGACCGGAGGGAGTAATTTTTAAAGCTTGAAATTTGTGTTTGATGGTGAAAAATAAAAGTTAATGATTGATTATTGTTAAAATCTTTTGAGTGTTAATAAATTGTGCTTAAACTTTTAATTCAGACACATATTTTGGTGATTTACTATAAAAATCTTAAAACTCCATTGTTGGACCTTAGAAAGTGTTGAGAAGACAAAGTGGGTTTTTTGATTTGGTGTTGTTCGACTAAATCGGTGACTGAGGATCGTTTATTTTGGTATTTGGAAGCTTTGTTACAAATTTGAGATTATTTGGAGCAGACTTGGGGTGGTTTGATCGAAATTGAAGTTGCACATTCGAAGAACACTTTACAAAAACAACCCAAAAAAGTATGTCAATCCCGTAGATTTCGATGAACAACTTAATAAATAGGTATACAAAATATAGCATCAACTCTATTGACCCGGTAGAAAAATTTCTCAAGAGCAGAAGTATGACAATCCGGTAGATTTCAATAA